TAAAGACGGAGAAAGACTTTATGAAGATATGTGTTATTGATCCATATACATTAAAGATGGATAAAGACTTTATGAAGATATGTGTTATTGATCCATATACATTAAAGATGGAGAAAGACTTTATGAAGATATGTGTTATTGATCCATATACATTAAAGACGGAGAAAGACTATATCTTAACCTACTGTGTACCTTGACCTTCCTCTTTTCTTCTTTATACCTGTTTAAATTATAACTTTGAACTTATGTTTGGCATTCAGATTAATCTATTACCCAATATAATTATACAGTTTCAGTTTTTCATCTCCTTAATCCCTTCAATGCAGCAGTAGTGTTTATTCCATACGCAATTTTGTTTTGTGGGGGGGGGGATAATTTTGCATTGTTGCAGTTTTTCTACATAGTTTCAAAGCCATTTAACCTTTTAGGCGTGCCAGTCACCGCATGGCAACCACATAATGCAGTTTGAATTTCCCGCTAGAAATGAGGATCAAGTGCACAAAATCAAAAGACAAAGCCTAACCTGCACACATAACGACCTCAGCCGCTTATTCATTTCCAACACGGCATATCTTGCTATTCAAAACAACAGTAATATTTGCATATGAAAATTGTTTAATGTTTAGGAGAAAATGGCTTCAAATTTCTTCCAGTGTTTTTACACTTGAAGAGATAGTTGATTTTATGTAAGCTGTCAATGATTCTTGCTCTAAATGTGAATTATCTGACGATGATGTTGAGCGTGATATAACTAAAAAAGAAAAAGGTTGTGCCTAAAGGGTTAAATTCCTTATGCTTTCACCATAGAATCCTTTGTTTCTTGACGATTAAAAGGTTAGAGAAAAATGACCTTTAAACTCCAGATAATCAGAAAAGAACTTTTATTTGAACCGACGTTTGACCTTTGCAGCTTCATCGGGGCTATTACGTACAAATAAAAATTATAATTTATAAATTTATAATTATCTGGAGTTCAAAGGTTGTTTCTCTATAATCTTTTAATCAAAATGTGTAAATCTCTCCAGTGTGCACTACAAATTTTGTTTGTTGTTTAAGACTCACAACATATATAAATTAATATATAGATCTATACATTGACTACATTAAAACACTTTTATTTGTGAGCTTTCAGGCCCTATTACCAGAGCCTTCATCGGGCAACAATGAACTGAGCGATAAAAAAAATATTTTTTTTTTAACTGTGGTCACTGCTTTAAAATAGATATCTAGACAACAGTCGTAACAATATCTGACATCTGGTGTTAAAGTTATTAAATGTATAGAATTATGATCAATATAGAATATGAATCAATGTAATAAACGTAAGGAAAATACAGATATAGGTATTATACAGAGAAATAAATAAATAAAGGTATTTTTCAACTTAAAATGATACGTTGTAGAATTAAAGGTTTAATTTTACATCGAAACCATGACAAATAATATGTTTTATGTCTTTTATTAGTGGTATCCATCCAGTATTGAGTAGTTGTTGGCCGTTGTTTTGATTAATACCAACTGGTGTTCGACTGTCTTGTGCTTGGATGAAGGCTCCGTTAAGAGTGCCGAATGATCTCAAGTAAAAGTATTTTAACATAGAGAAAAGTCCGTGTGTAATTCTACTTATAAATTTTGTTTCTCTATGTCACATTCATTCGTCTTTTAGTACAATTCAAAAACGACGTTTTTAAGTGTGACATTTTTAAGCCTAATGATTTCTCATTTACATAATTAAATGTATTCATCTTGGTATACGCACATGCAGTTCAGAGTTCCCAGGCATCCAGTATTCAAAATGTATTGGAATAAGTCTTGGAGCTTCTCTGACATTCATTGCTTTAGTTTTACTGGGATTAATGAAAGGGAAACATTTTATAGGAGTGAAAGCGTAGTTGATCCCATTTTTAAGTTTATCATTGCTAAACAGTAATAAAGAGCCACAAAAGCAAAGCAGTGAATGTCAGAGAAACCTCAGAATGTATCACCTAATATGAAAATATTTTATCATGGTGGTCATATGATATACATAAAACTTGGGGATTCCTCTCGTATGCATTATGTGCATAGCCGAGATAACTACATCTTTGAAGAGATACAGGGAAAGAAAGTTAATATATTTTGTGGCACCACTTATGTGTACATATGGCACACTGCAGGGAAAGGGTTAAATCAACTTATCGGCTTAGTTTTCAGGATGTAAGTCTTGTCTATTAAAATTTCCAAATCCCTTCTTTCTTTTTCATATATTTTGCAAGTTAACTAACTATTCATGATTATCACAATCTCCGTGATTTTTCTGCCTTTCATCTGCTCGTTCCGTGGTTGCTTTGTTCATAGGTGAAAGTGCATTCACAAACTATCAAGATTTTCACTTTAAAAACTACTATCAATGTTGTCATAAAGATCCTTGTTATCAGTACCCTGTAAAATTTATTTGAATGAGCAGTTTTGACTCTGTTAAGAAATTAAATATAGACTGTTTATGATCACAGAGGAAAAAAAAAGACAAACGGAAAGGCACTGGTCAATAATTATGATCTAATGTTTGTGTGCCAGTGCTGCACTAATCTATCTCAAAGTCAAAGTTTGGTCATTTAGGGTAAATAATAAACCAGATATAAAAATCTGGTCTGTGTAGTATGTACACTTATTGGGATAAAAGTAGTAAGTGTTTCTATTGAACTTTTCATTATTCAAAATATTTTTTTTTCTAGCTCAAGAAAGACACTTTTTTTCTTTTACTTTTTATGTTTTGTCAGCTCAAGCAAGTTCGTCTTCAAGGAATCGTTTCAATTATTTTCTGCAAACGAGCTCATCTCATTCACATAAGGGGGATCCAAGCGAGGTACACCAGAACAGGACTTGGAGGAGTCTGGGTAGGATTTTAATTACATTTTAAAGTAAGTTTTGTAGCATAAGAGTATTTATTCGTTTAGAAGGACAGAGATATAAAGATGCACTAGCCTGACGTTTGAGGCTACCAAATATTGAGTTCAGACTACTGTAAATTCCGCATGTACTAACCTGGGTTTAGGGTGATTCTGATTGTGTGAAATATGTGCATATTTGGAAAATCCAACATTATATCTAATTATTAAAATATACAAAAATTCTACCTGTTGTAAAATTTTCTTTCAACATGCTAAATATCTACTGTTAGTTACGTTTGTAAAAGCAGTAGCCTGTCTGTTAACGATAGGTTAATCCATTCATAAGCCTGATAAATAAACTCATATGCGTGACTTGATTATTGACTTTCAAATTAAAATATCCAACTATTTAGTTTCATATTTATAACACTGGGCTTATAATAGTTATTTTAATGCAAAGTTTTATTGAGACAAGATGAAACAGCTTTATTTAGTTCAAACAACTTGGACTATTCACTCTGAACTCACTGGTTTTTTTCCTAAGCATTATGGAAAATGGTGTGGTATTCCAAATGTTGACTACTGTGTGGTTGTTTTGACTCTTTCATTCATGTAGACCTGATAACTTGCCCAGAGATTAGACGTTTTTTCATTCACTGGGCAAGTTATCAGGTCTACAAAAAAACGTCTAATCTCTGGGCAAGTTATCAGGTCTACATGATTGAAAAAACGTCTAATCCCTGGGCAAGTTATCAGGTCTACATGAATGAAAAAACGTCTAATCCCATACATGTAGACTCGATAACTTGCTCAGAGATTAGACGTCTTTGTTTGTTCTATATTAAATCATATTGTTTTAAATACATCAGAAACTACAGCCTTTTACTTGTATACATTGGTTAACCTGCCCATAGATTTTAATTTGCATCATGTGTGCTGTAGAAAATGGCATAGTTTTTAGTTTTATAATAATCTAGTCATTATAATGTAAAAATATAGTTAGGCTAGTAAATCAAAATTAGAATAATAATATTAAGTAAATAAATCATGCCACAATTAATATTAGGAGATTAACTTAGTTTTCATATTAACTTTGAGAGAAATAACCTCTAACCAGTAATAGACTTCAGTTCCAAAACTATATATGTAGCAAAATAACAAGAATATCACATATGTTAAAGTTAGTTTTTGGATTTTTTAGCTGCTATTTTATATATTTGCATTGACAACTTATATTATTTATCAGTTGGACTGTAGACTTCATTATTTACGTAAAATTTTGATTCTCTACTGTAGATTTCTGAATTGTTATTTTTATGATATTATTTTGAGGTTGATAGAATAAAGCTCTTGGTTCGTAATGCGTACTGAGTTAAACTTTTATATATGTAGGGTAACAAAGGTGGGGTGAGCATACGATTTAGTGCTTACGGTTGCTCTATGTGCATCGTCAACTGTCATCTTGCAGCACATGATGAAGAATTGCAGCAAAGAATCTATGTAAGTTCATTTTATTCTAACTACTAGATGTACTCGTTCAATTCGTGGGAGGGGGGGGGAGGGGCATGGCCAGGTGGTTAGGGCGCTTGACTCGCA